TTTCTTGCGCTTCCTTCCAGTTCCCCCAGCCCTGCCCATTCGGGCATGCTCAAGGGGTTGGAGCTCCAAAGATTTAGATCTCTCATACTGTCTTCGAAAAGCCTTAGCCTTGGCATTAGTTGCCAACTGAAACTCCGCTAGCACTGCGAGACCCTCATTAATGTAGATTCTTGCGGTCTTTGCCGCCTGCCACCTACCTGCTATGAGCAGTTTGTCTAGGGACCCGTGTTTTGCAAAATAGGAGGTGGCACCTCCCCTTCGCAGGCTGTAGGGCCTAAAAGAGTGTTCACTGAGCCCTGTGGCATCCAAGTATTCAGTAAACTTCTTCCTCCAGACATGAGCCGCCTCGCATAGTGAAGGTCGAGAACTTGGAGTATTCTTCCACTGCCAGAGTCGTCGCAGGGTATCCTCTTCCCGGATTGTCACACTTTCAGCAGCGCCTTGACGGCGACCACCGTTTGTCATGCCGAGGGAAATGACCGCGACACTCCGTGGACCTCGCTGTTCTATATGGCTCTTTTTAACTCCCAACAACTCCCCTGTCCGCAGGAGTCCATGGAAACCGAGCAGCAAAGAAAGGGCAAACAGGTCATCCTTCTTGAACAGGCTGTAGCCAACTAGTATATCTAAGGCCTCTGTGGGCAGGGGCGGCGCTCGACTTGGAATTTCGGTGGAGGACCAGGTCTTCATCAACCTCCAGGAGGATGGCAACCTCCCCTTGACCGAGGGCTTGTAGTCTTGAACTGCTGCTATGGAGTCACAAGCAAGAGCGCGGCCTTCTCCAGTTTCCCAAAGAAATTCTATGTAGTGACTAAGCCAGAAGTCAAGAGTGAGGAGGTCATCTGGGAATCGGCGACTCGGCGACTCTCTTCACGAAGGTAGGTACGGAATTTTTCAAGCGCTTTGTCATATCGTGCTCTGGTGGCTGGCTGGACAGCGGCGTAGCGGCCCTAGTGCTCGTCGCTGCTGCTGCCGTGATGCTTTGTCTTTGCCTACTATGTGTACTTTGCTATGGCTCACCATTTCTTCTTTACTGGGTGCCTCGACGGCCCATCGGCCGGGTTTTCCTTCGTGTGAACATACGCCCACACGCCGTGTGAGCCACTGGCAAGGAGCAAAGCATTTATCCGACTCATAGTGCGACGAAGTTTGCAGCTGCTGCTGCGGCCTCTTGAGAGGGAATGGAGGCACACCAAACTATCCACCATATGCACGAATTTTGTGCGAAGAGACTTCTTCTTCACGATCCGCCAGCGAAGCGAGGTGAGAACAGCCCGCATCTCCAAGACATTGATGTGTTCTGGTGAACCCTTCCATGTCCACCCCATGACTGTCTTCCACTGCCACAAGTTGGAGGGTAAGCTAGCTCGCAATCTATGGTATCGAAGAGTCTCTTCACTCGGGGCTTGAATCATGATGTCTTCACCCTTCAAGCTGACCAGGTTCAGGAGTTTTGAGACCAGCTCGTACTCCCCTTCTGTACCTACCTTCTTGATTCGCTTCATGGCCTGACGTTGCAACATGCCTCCCAAGGTGGTTGCGGTACCTGGCTTTGTGGCCTCGACTGCGTCTTGCGGACTTTTGGAGGGGCATAGACCAAGCTGCTGGCCCAATTGGGCAAGCAACCAAACCACGACTGTCACATTCCAGCTGTTGCCTATCAAGCTCTTCCTCTCATCCTCATGCGCTTCACTCCCACGATGCTGCTTTGACATGCATTGCACTGTATAGTCCCGAGGAAACCCCATGATTGCTTCCCGCTCGCGAACGGACGGAATTCGACACCTGCCATTGCCTTCCTTCACCAGCAAGCGATGAGCATATTGGTATGGGGGAAAGCTGAATTTGTCTGCTTCCCATGATTCCTTCTCTTCTGGGCTGAGCTTTTCTAGCCCAGCTGGTCGCCGTCCTGGATGAGTCCTTGGCCTTGCCGTTGTAAAGGTAGGGAACGGCTCCTCCGAGACTTTCACGCAACCTGCTGTTAGGAAATCCTTGGGGTTGACCTCCGCGATGAGCTCGACTTCCTGAAAGGCCGCCATCCCCTGATCAACTTTAGGATGCATGCGAACCCCTGGTCCTGACCTCAACTCCCAATCCAACCAGTATAGACGGGGTCGACGGGCCAGCGAAACACCACTGGCCTCTATCTTCACCGGGGTGTCCCCAAAATCTCGCGACATGACTTCACGGTCCTTCCGGTCCATTGAGGCCACACTCTCTGCCGAGTACCTGACTTGCGCCCAAGGGAAATGGATCTTCAGCAGCTCCGAGATGCGTCGGACATGGCTGAAAAGACAGCTCCTGTGATCTCGCAAGGCACCCCGTCGCTCACTGTTCAACCCACTCACGCCTTGACAAGGCGGTCCAGCTCCCAGTAAAACTAACGATGCCTGAGAAAACTTCGCCGCCCAGCACCTGACCATCTCCTCGTCAACTGCTTCCACTCCTCCTTCGATGAACTCTGTCGCCGGGAACTTGCTCTCGAGGACACGGCTTGCCTCCTTCTTCACTTCCACACTAATGTGACCCAAAACGGGGAAGCCGCAAGCATCAGCTGCCACTCTCAATGCTCCGATCCCATCGAACAGACCGATCGTTAGGACTGAGCACACGTCAGACGGCTCTGCAATGTCACCTCGAACAGTAGCTCGTGATGCCGCTTCCCCAAAACCTGTCAGACCAACGCTTCGAGTCAATCCTCCACCAGTGGTAGAAGCATCACTGGCTGTAACCTCCGAGCTCACCTCTAACCTGAAGTCCATTTGCGCCAGAGGAACTAAAGCAACAAACCGTGCGATCTCCAGCCTCACACCTCCGAAGGTATCTCTAGCTTGATCACCGGCGGGTAGTGCTTGAACTCCTCGATGAATCGCCACACTGCATTCAAAGACCCTAGAAGGGGCCTTCTGAACATGCTCATGTATACCAAGCCTCCAGCAACTACCTGGATCTGCTTCTGACTGCACCTCTTCTCCCCTAACAGGAGACTGCCAAGCTGGGCGTACTTGAGCACCTTGATAGGTTTGGGATAGGCGATTCCCCTCACTCCATCAATGATGGCACCTTGCACTTCGGCCTTCAACGATCGCGCAACTCCTTTCTTTGGATGGCGAGGAACTCCCCATCTTTCATACTCCGACCGGAGCGCCAGAATACTGGCACTTGGCTCCCCCCTTAGGAGCTCGGCGGTGCGCTTGTCCATCTTCTCCAGCGAGTCGAAGTTATCTAAATATACCCTATGCAACGTGGTAGCAGACGAGACAGGTCGATCCTTTCGCACCTCTTGTTCTGGCTTGAGCCCCCCCCGATTTGTTCCCCAGCTCGTCTCACCATGGCCCTGTGGACATGTTGGGCCAAGCTCACGCTGTTCTTAAAGCCCATCGGTAGCACTTGTGAAGCTAAGTAGTAGGGGCCATCGTCATCCGGCCACATCTCACGTGGGATGGGTTTGTTGAAACCAAGGAAGCTTGACCACTCACGAGGCACCTGGAAAATATAAAAGAAACAGCGCACATCCTCAGAGGATATCACCAAATCTTCACAGGGCATCAATTGCAGGGGGCTCATAGTAGCCCAAGTAGGGAGAGTGGCTACGTCGCCTTCGATGCCACGGCATACCAAGTTGGCTGGCCGAAGGTCCATGATCAGACGGTGAATCGGGTGACCTTCATGCTCCTCCCCTTTCGCAACTCCAAATAGTCCGTTTAGGAGGGGCGTCCGTCAACATGATGGAGGTCCTTCTCTTTCAATGGGATACAAACTCCCTTCCCCAACAAACCCTCGCAGACTCGCGGCCACGCCTCATCACTGATCATGATTCGCGGCGGCTTCATGGGCTTTTGCAACTCCTCAGGCAGAACGTATGAGGTGAAGTTCAACACGTAATGACGACACCCAAGATCCACCACTTCAGCCAAGGGGACCGAAGCGATCTCCGAGGGCATTGCTGGTGCGAGGTTTTCCCAGGTGGTATACTGCGCGCAAAGAACCTCCTCCCCACAGTAGTCGATGGTCTTTACCTGAAGAAAATCATGCCATGTAGTCTCCTCAAACCTTTCTTCCCACTCCAAAACTGCCCTCGTCTGACCTTCCAAGAACCTCAGGACACCGACCTGCAGTGGGATCGGGGGAAACTTGTTCT